AGCTTTTTTATATGTTAGCAGATTATCTTTCCAAATTAAATAAAATTCTTGAACATTAGTATAGCGCCATTTTCTCTCCTGGTTTCTAGATGCCTGCTTTAAAGTACTTAACTCAGAATTGAACCAAGGGGCCAGTTTCCTCTGATTGATTACTTTCTTTTTCAGTGGAGCAATTTTATGAAGTGAAGTTTGCATTGAAGTTGTAAGACGATCAACTAGATGATCTAAGTCACTGTTCTCTGATGCATTACTATGCAAGACAGAGGAAAACAATGATGGAAGAGATTGTTTAAATTTGGTTACAGCATTTTCTGATAAGCACCTGCTGAGATGAAATTTACTTTCAGTGACTGTGTAGTCATTTAATGTAAACTCAAAAGTTATTAAAAAATGGTCGGACAGAATAGGATTTTGAGGAACTATTACCAAGTCCTTAATCTCTATACCATAGGTCAGAACTAAATCAAGAGTGTGATAATAAGAATGAGTAGATGTGCGGACGTTTTGTGTAAAACCAAATGAGTCTATTAAATTATTAAAGGCTATGCTTAAACTATCACTCTCAACATCCACATGAATATTGAAATCACCCATTATGATGATTTTATCAGTGTTTAATAGTAAGTCAGTTAATAATTCTGAGAATTCAGACAAAAACTGAGAGTAAGAGCCTGGTGGACGATATATAACAACTAGTAAAAGTTACTTTTCTGATTTCCATTTTGGATGAGAAAGACTGAGGGACAGCAATTAAAAAGCATCATAACTAATAACAGGTTTGGCATTAATCAATAATCCTGACTGAAAAATAGAAGCTATTCCTCCACCTCAGCCAGTTGTTCTAGGAACATGAAAATTTAAATAATTAACAGGAGTGGATTCATTTATACTAACAAAATCCTCCTGTTGTAGCCAAGTTTCTGTCAGACAGAATAAACCAATATGATGATCAGTTATCAGTTCATTAACTAACAGGGATTTAGAGGAAAGAGATCTGATGTTCAATAATCCACATTTAAGGATTTTATGAATTTGCTCTAGTAAAGTAACTGTGTTTATTTTAATCAGATTTTTATGGTTTGTATTTTTAGAGTGTTCCTGTGATGGACTTGTGACCCGTCCAGGGTGTACCCCACCCCTCGCACAGTGATTGCTGGACATCGGCATCGGCGACCCCCGTGACCCAAAATGGAAGAAGCGGGTAAAGATAATGGATGGATGGATGGATGGATGGATATTTTTAGAGCTAATTTTTGGTTTATTTAATTTGAGCCGTGGGCGAGTTGACACTGTTTCAATGGGGGTGTGGGTGGGTAACAGAGGAGAAGCAACAGAGAGGTGTGGAGGACTACAACTCTGCTTCCTGGACTGGACCCTGGGTTGTCAATAATTTGGGGGATAAACAAAATCAGCCATATTTCTAGAAAGAAGAGCGGCTCTGTCCAAAGTGGGATGGATGCCATCTCTCCGCATCAGACCAGGTTTTCCCCAGAAAGAACTCCAGTTATCTATGTAGCCCACGTTGTTGTCAGAGCACCACCTGGACACCCAGTGGTTAAACGACGACATACGGCTAAACGTGTCATCACTGGTCAGGTTGGGGAGGGGGCTGGAGAAAACTACGGAGTCCGACATGGTTTTAGCAAAGTCACACACCGAAGCAACATTAATTTTAGTGACCTCCGATTGGCGTAACCGGGTGTCATTACCGCCGACGTGAATAACAGTCTTACTGTATTTAGCCTTAGCCTTAGTCAGCAGTTTCAAATAAGATTCTATGTTGCCCGCTCTGGCCCCCGGCATGCATTTGACTATGGCCGTTGGAGTCCCTAAAGCCACGTTTCAGACTATGGAGCTTCCAATAATCAGGGTCTATTTCTCAGCGGGTGTGCCACTGAGCAAGGAAAATTGATTAGAAACGTGAACGGGTATGTGGTGAACTGGGGGCTTAGCCTTAGCACTACGCTTGCTCCGGACCATCACCCAGCCGACCTGGGGTCCCGGCTGCTCGCGGTCTGCTGGAGGACCGCTAACGGGAGCTATCCACTGTCGTTCTGCGCTGTCTAAGGGGACCTGGCTAGCTACTGGTTTTTCTACAGCGCGGAGCCGAGCTTCCAGTTCAGGCAGCCTCTCCTCCAAAGCTACCATAAGACTACATTTGTTACATGTATCATTACCACTAAATGAGGCAGAGGAGAAACTAAACATCTTACACACGGAGCAAGTGAAAACAGAGGAAGCAGGGAGAGAAGCAGTAGCCATGCTAAGCTAACGCTAACAGGAGCTAGCAGAGCCAAATACACCAATAAAAACCGAGAAGTGTTGAAAGATAAGAGGTATTTTAAGCACTATCCAACAGTAGAAAAACAACTGTAGTAAGTGTGTTTGTGAACTAGAATGAAAAACTGTGCAAAAGACAGATAAATCCAGAAAATAGAGACGACTCAAGCAAACAATTCACTCGAGCTACCGACAGGCAAACAGGAAATGACACAATACGTCTCACCGCGAACGTGCAACGTCACACACATTAGCAAAAATCATCTGTTATACATTTAATGTTCCTCCACATGCTCCAAGGGTCTTGTGAGGTGAATTGACCCTCGATCCTCTGTGCATATGTAGTCTTGACACTTTTAATACCTGCAACCAGATATTTCCTTTTCCTACTCAGCTCCTGTGAGTTTCCAGACCCGAATGCAGTGTTCCTGGCTTCCAGCAGAGTGTGCACCTCTGCATTCAGCCAAGGTTTTCTGTTTTGGTAGATTTTAACATATCTGATGGTGGAGACGGTGTCAGTACATGTACTAATGTAACCCAGAACTGAGGATGCGTGTTGGTTCAGCCTAGATTGGATACAGAGTATATATACAGATACAGAGTAATAAACAGAGTTATATGAAGTTGAACTCAGTTTAAAGACCGGGATAGGTTTACATTTTCTCCTGCTATGAGCTATGAGTCCAGGAAATTAGGTTGGATCATTTGGACATGTCCAGAGTAGGGACAGTAGGAATATAGGTAGAAAAATGTTATGAATGCAGCTGATATGGAAAAAGACAAAGAGGAAGGCCAATGAGGAGTTATATGGATGAAGTTAGAGAGGACATGGATGTAATTGGAGTGAGGACAGAGGATTCAGAGGACAAAGTGAGATTGTTGAGGATGACTCGCTGTGGCAATTCCTGAAAAGGAAAAAGCCAAAAGAAGAAAAAGATCAAAAAGAAATGTCCTAAGCCCAGTCTTAAAACTGGACAATATGTCAGCCTTATGGACAGAAACTGGAAGTTGTTTCCACAAGAGAATAGCCTGATAACTGAAAGAGCTTCCTCCCATTCTGCTTTTGGAAACTCTATGAACCACAAGTAAACCTGCAGTCTAAGAGTGAAGTGCTCTGTTAGGAAAATATGGAACAGTAAGATCTGTAATATAAGATGGAGCTAGGTTCTTGAGAGCTTTCTAGGTTAGAAGTAAGATTTTGACTTCAGTTCTGAATTTGACAGGGAGCCAAAGCTAAAACTGGAGAGATATGATCTCTCCTGCTAACTCCAGTTAAGACTTTGGCAGCAGCATTTTGGATTAACTGAAGACTTTTGAAGAAGTGTTTGGACACCCAGATAATACACCATTGCAATAGTCCAGTCTAGATGTGACAATGCATGAACCAGTTTTTCTGCATCATTTTTAGATAAGATGTTTCTAATTTTAGCTATTTTTTAAGTATTTAAGACATGTACAGGTACCTGGATGATCGAGCATGAACTTTGTTGTCTTTAAGACATGCTTATAGTCTAAGTAACTCATTGGGTTTCATGGACAAATATAACTGTCAATCGTCAGCTTAACAATGAAAATGTATCCCATGCTGTTGAATTACTTTACCTAATGGAAGTAGATATAAGGTAGAGTGCATTGATCCAAGCACTGAACCCTGAGGAACTCCATGACTAACTTTGGTGTATGAAGAAGATTTATTAGTTACATTTACAAACTGGAATCTATCAGATAGATATGATTTAAACCATTTTAGAGCTGTTCCTGTAATCCCAATATCATATTCAAGCCTCTGTAGTAAAATATTGTGATCAACCGTATCAAATGCAGCACTGCGGTCTAACAGGACCAGTATGAGACACAAGTCCATTGTCTGAGGCCATGAAAATGTCATTAGTAACTTTCACCAGTGCAGTTTCTGTGCTATGATGAGCTCTAAAACCTGACTGAAACTCTTCAAACAGATTATTTCTTTGTAGATGTTCACGCAACTGACCTGCAACTATTTTCTCTTGAATTTTTTAGATGAAAGTTAAATTAGATATAGGTCTATAATTGGCTAGGATTCCTGAGTCAAGGTTATGTTTCCTAATTACAGCAATCTTAAAACACTGTGGGATGTAACTATTCATTAGAGACAAATTAAGCAGATCCAAAATGTGACTAGAAGTTAAGGTTGAGAGTTTCAGATCCTTTTGCTAAATTAGATTATATAATAATTATAGTAAATATAAATATATAATAATAATTATTATTATTATAATTAGATTATTGTGCTAAATTAGAAGATTAAGAATTAAATTTAGTCAGTTTTCCCGTCTTTCTCTCCTGCCTCCTTTCCTGTTGCCATGGAAACAGGGCCGATCCAGTTGGAGCCACAGGGCTGTGAGGATGCTCCATCTGAGGGCGGTAAATGAGTTTGGGTTTATTTCAGAGGAGTAGTGAGGAGGAGGGAGGAAGAAGGTTGTGGAGACAGAAACATGTTATGACCCGTCACGGATTTACTTTGAGCAGCTCTCTTTGTTTCTTGAGGAGGACCAGGACGTGTTTCCGCCATGGACTCACAGGGTTGACGTCTCTGTGAGGACCGGAGGAAGAGGAGGATGATGAAGATTGAGATGATTAGTCGGAAACTTTGAGCAACACCTGAACATCCGTCAGAGCCCAGCGGAGGTTGGGACGCTTCTTCTTCGTCTCCTGGCTGCTTGTAGTTTCTCTCAGATTTGTTCCTTCACTCATGGCTCGCTTCGAAGACGAGCCGTCTGGCCGCCACGGAGCGGCAGGGCAGCCCCGGGCGGGGGCCGGCCGACCGCAGGGGCTACCGGGGGCCCCGCGGGTCTACAAGCAGACCATGGCCCAGAGAGCCAGGACCATGGCTATCTACAACCCGATCCCAGTGAAACAGAACTGCCTGACCGTGAACCGCTCCCTGTTCATCTTCAGCGAGGACAACATCATCCGGAAATACGCCAAGAAGATCACCGAGTGGCCATATCCTTCTGGAGCAGAACTCCGCTCCGAAACACCTCAATTTAAGGTTCATTCGTGTCCAGCAGGGTTCAGGTTTACTCTGGATCTGTGCCACTGCATGCAAATACACAACAAATACAAACACTTCACATCGGCATGCAGCTGGAATTAGAATTACTCTTCTCATTTGGCAAAATTGTCTAAAATAATATTTGTTTCTACAGCCCCATTAATATATATTTTGTAGAAATGAGGTGAAAACGTGCTGCTGCAGAATGTTGTGAAACTGGTCACAGTGAGGCTCTGTGGGATGAAACAAAGGAGCTTTAAATTATTAATTAATATTAATATAATAATATATTATATATATTATATAATAATAGTAATTATTATTAAATTATTATTTGCAACTATCTTTAAAACCTTTGTATCTTCTAGTTCTTTTGAAATGATTTGCACACATAGGCTATTCTATGGTTCCATATATCTGTTCTACTGTTCAAACCCCCGTTGGTCCTGCTGGTCTGCTATGGACCGATGGAACGTCTGCTCAGAACCAAGTCTCGTGGTTAGATCAAGTTTTTGTGCAAACAGTGCCATCATTAGTGAATAAAGGTGTTTGTTTGTTTTTTGCAGATGATAGTGGACTCTTATAGCAAACAGCGAGCCTGATCTTTATGGGTGTGCCGGCCAACAAACAAGCTGCATCAGTAAAATGCAGCAGGTAGGATGTTTACACTCACTTCTGGTGCAGTGAACCATCAAGCTGCCACTGAACCCACCTGTTGGTGTTTAGGGGCTGCTGACCAAAGGATCCCCACTGATGCAGACTTGGATCAGGTCTTGGGATGAGTCACCATTTAATCTTGTATTTGAGCAAGTCCATAGGTTTGTTAAACGATTAAAATGATGTTAGATGTGTGTGATACAAGTTTCCTGCATAATCAGTTGCTTGTCTTCAGAGCTGGACAGACATTTCTTGTGATGTGATGACGCAGAGCATTACGGAGCGCCTCATGTTGATGCTGAATATCCCATAGCACTGCAGGATGAGGCTTTCTATGACTAGCTGCTGGCTCGGTGGTTTGAGCTCATTGGATGACTCTCTCTCCTGTGGCCGCCTCTCCTGGAGAGCTGGAAGAGTCCTGGGGGGGGGGGGGGGGGGGTTGGGATGGTAGCTAATGACAGAAAGCTGCAGGAAGGTCTAGTGTGTGAAACTCCACCCTCACTTTTATTTTCAATAAGTAAACCCCTTTTCCTTTGAAATGCTGCATGTATTGATCAAGTAACACTCATAATGCTACCTCATAATTTCTGCTTTGGTCACATTACATCTGTATTATAATTGAATACTCCATCTGTACTGTTTTCTAAGCTTTTTTATTGTTTCTATTGTATGGATGTACATATGATTATGGTTTCAAAAACACAAAGTTTGTTTTCTCAGTCATCCAGGTATATAACAACAAAAAAGGTTGAATCATGTCATCTGGACTTTGTGTTTTTGAAACCATTAGTGAAAAGGCCAGACTTCAGGGGTATCTGAGGCAGGCTTGAAACACAAGAGTCAGGGTGGCTTCTGGGTAATACCAGATGGCTAGGCCTCAGATTGACGAAGCCTCTTGGATGAGGGGCGAAACGTTTCTTTTTTAACAAAAAAAACGAAGTCCAGATGACATGATTCAACCTTTTTTGTTTTTACATATGGTTATGTTATGTTTTTAATTTTACTTTATTTGTGGGTGTACACAGGTCTTATGTCTTATGTAATGTTCTCATTTTTACTTCATTTTTACTTTATTTTTACTTTATTTTACTTTATTACTATTCGCACCTTATGTCTAAGCAAATTCCTAGTTTGTGAACCTCGTTCATTGACATGGCAATAATAAACTGGTTCTGATTCTGGTAATGTATTGATCAGGTAATGTATTGATCAGGTAATGTATTGATCAGGAAATGGGACAGAATGGTGGAAGACGAGGTCTGTTATTGGCAGTGTGACAGAGTTAAAAACATTCATTTTTTGCCTGTCTGTGATTGTAATATTTTACAATCATCAGGGTAATTTAGGGAGGATTTTTTGATTCCAACTTCCATCTTTAAAATAAATAACAAACATGAAGCATGACTAAAATTCAATTCAGTTCAGTTTATTTATATAGCGCCAAGACACAACAGAAGTCGTCTCAGGGCACTGAACAGAAACATCCATCCATCCATCCATTTTCTTTACCCGCTTATTCCATTTTGGGTCACGGGGGTCGCTGGTGCCCATGTCCAGCAATCACTGTGGTGCCCATGTCCAGCAATCACTGTGCGAGGGGCGGGGTACACCCTGGATGGGTCGCAAGCCCATCACAGGGCCACATAGAGACAAACAACCATTCACTCTCTCACTCACACCTAGGGACAATTTAGAGTTACCAATCAGCCTAACATGCATGTTTTTGGACTGTGGGAGGAAACCGGAGTACCCGGAGTAAACCCACGCATGCACGGAGAGAACATGCAAACTCCACCCAGAAAGGCCCCTGGACCGGGGTTTGAACCAAGGACCTGCTCGCTGAGAGGCAGCAGCTCTACCAGTTGCGCCACTGTGCTGCCCATAACAGAAACATTCATATATAAAATAATAATTTAACATTATTTATCATTATTATGATCATCAACATTATTTATACACAATGGCAGGTCAAGAATCACATGTTAAGATAGAAATACTGTAGTATAAAATGAAAACTATTCAATTTTAACATGAAAGATTATGCTCAATAATTCAGGTAGAAAATCCAACAAAGTTCAGTCAGGTCATCTGAATGGTTTATTTTGTTGTTGACATGTTTCGTCCTTCATTCAAAGGGCTTCATCAGTCCAAGAAGCCACAACAAACTCAGTCCCACAATCAGCACATTCCCATAGTGGACCAACCAGTTTGTATTCAACCGGTATTCAATTTTAACAATTCATTTAAGGAAATGAAGTCAATTTGTCCTCTAGTATTCTAAGCCTATGGCAGCATAACAAGCCAACCCTAATGACTATAGTTAGTAGCAGAGATCATGTCTTTCTAGTTTTAGCTTATCTCAATTGGCTCCCTGTCAAATCCAGAATAGAATTCAAAATCTTACAAACTTCCTAACCTAAAAACCTAAACCTAAAAAGCTCTCAACAACCTAGCTCCATCTTATATTCGAGATCTTATTGTTCCATATTTTCCTAACAGAGCACTTGGCTCTCAGATTGCAGGTTTACTTGTGGTTCCTAGAGTTTCCAAAAGCAGAATTAGAGGAAGATATTTCAGTTATCAGGTTCCTCTCTTGTGGAACCAACTTCCAGTTTTTGTCTTTGAGGCTGACATTGTCCAGTTTAAAGACTGGGCTTAAGACTTTCCTTTTTGATAAATCCTCCAATTAAGACTCTGGCAGCAGCATTTTGGATCAACTAGAAGACCTTTTAAAGAAGTATTTGGACACCCAGATAATAAACCATTGCAATAGTCCAGTCTAGACGTGACAAATGCATGGACCAGTTTTTCTGCATAATTTTTAGATAAGATGTTTCTAATTTTAGCGATATTACGCAGGTGGAAGATGGCAGTTCTAGTAACATTTTTAATGTGGTGGATAAAAGACATGTCCTGATCAAAAATAACACCAAGATTTTTTACAATAGAACTAGAGGCCAGATTAATATCATCTAATTAGGGAGAAAGACTGAAAAAACAATTCAAAAGATCTTCAGGTCCAAAAACCAAAACCTCATTCTTGTCTGTATTCAAAAGCAGGACATTTAAGTATCCTGATGCATGCTCAATAATCTAGGTAGAAAAATCCAAAAAAGTTAAATCCGGTCCTCTGGACATAAAAAAACCCCCAAAAAAAACAACCCAAAGCAAAAAAAAAAGCAAAAAAATGTAGAACAGGACTTTTAAGGTCATACAAGTTTTTATATCTTTAAGACATGCTTGCAGTCTAAGTAGCTGATTGGATTCATTGGGTTTTATGGACAAATATAATTGTGTGTCATCAGCATAAAAATGAAAATGTATCCCATGCTGTTTAATAACTTTACCTAATGGAAGCATATACAAGGTAAAGAGTATTGGTCCAAGTACTGAACCCTGAGGAACTCCATGGCTAACTTTGGTGTTTGAAGAATATTAATTATTTATATTTACAAATTGGAATATATCAGATATATATGATTTAAACCATTTTAGAGCTGTTCCTGTAATCCCAATATAATTTTCAAGTTTCTATAATAGAATATTATGATCAGGGCATAATTTGTAAACCGATCGATGCCGGATCGCAAAAAGTGGGCGGACCGGCTCGGGGTGGGGGGGTCCTGGGGAACGCGCATGCTAGACAAGAACCTGACAAGTTGTTTAATGACATAAATATATATTTTGTTAGCAAAGAATAGAGCCCTAACATTTAGTAAACATTACTTCTGTAGTTACAAACAAGCAAAAAAAAAAACATCAAAATTGTTTTTTGTCAAAATCATTGATAAAACTTAAACATTTTGCCAACACAAAAGAGGAAAGAGGGGGCAGGTATCCAAAAAAGTTCAATCTGGTCTGCTGGACATTCAAAAAAACAAAAGCAAAACAAAGCAAAAAAATCTAGAAACGTTTCGCCTCTCATCCAAGAGACTTCCTCAGTCTGAGGTGCTGTTTTCAGCTCAGTCTCTTAAATAGCACCTTCTTAGAGTGTATCAACCAGTTTGCTGCTGACAACCAAAACCAGCTGATCACATGCTCAAGAAGGACCATCAGCCTAACAATGGGTCATTAGCACACTGATGGCTGTTTACTACTCACAGAGGGCTGAGTGATACTAGCAATCACAGCATTGTAAGAGGGGGACAGTTGAACCCGGAGGCCTCCACCCCTGTTTAATGATGGACGATTTCTTTTCACAAAGATGGCCTCCTTTACTCCTCTCTCAAACCATCGTTCCTCTCTGTCCAGGATGTGAACATCTTCAT